TTTCAAAAGGGCGGATTGTTGTATCTATGCCCTGTTTTTCAAAAATTAATATTAAGAATAATAAAAAAAAATGTTTTTTTATCTATATATTTTTTAAATTAAATAATGAAAACAGCCTCTACTCCTCACAAACACACGAGGAATCTGTGAAACGGGGAGGGCCATTAAACGACAAGACTTCAGAGCACAGAGAGGTCAGAGACATCCAGATGGACAAAAGGTCGATGGCCTAACCTTCCCAAGACATCTGGAGATGCACAGATAAGGTGCAGAGCAGAGAAACACAACTGTTGTAACTCGCGTTTTATTTAACGTTTTCCTTAACGAAAAGTAGAAACTCAACAAAAATAATTAACCAGCAAACAATAGGGGCTTGTTATTAGATATTCCCTTATATTACTCGTATTCTCTGCATATATATTATTTTGTATTGTATGTTTGTATCTACATGACCTTCCTAAAAACTAAAGAATACGAATTCCATAAAGCTTAAGTGGAAACTTAGTTACACTTAACCTCAGGACATTATAATATAACTCAGAATAAAACACCAATCCCTGGAAACAAACGCATAACCAAACTTGGCAAAGCCTCAAAATAATGATGTAACGAGGATCATTACGAATATTCATTAAACATAGACCGAATAATAACCACGATATACTAAGACCGAGGGAACTCATAAGAAATATCAAGAATAAATGTAACACACAGGACCACATAAATGTATTGCAAAAATCTCCTCAGCCACCTTTGTCTCCACCGGTCCGGCACAAACAGATGGCCCCATAAATACTTAGGGGGTTAGAAAGGGTCGCGAGGGGGGGGTCTGTGCTGACATTCCGAGGGCGCCTGTTTTTTTGTTTGTTTTCCTCTCGCAAGAGACGCGGAGAGAGGAGAGGGTGTTCACGTTTTGAGTTTTAAGCACAAGCGCACATCACGAATGAGCGGTCTGGTTCGAGTCGCGCTCAGTCTCGCAACTCGGCTTGCGACGCGGCGTTGCGATGGGGCTCGCAAGGGAGCTGGGGCAGATCGTGCCTCGAGGAGAGATGGGACGACGAGGGGTCGTTAGAGTGACAGTCTGAGAGCAGTCTGGTTCGAGTCGCGCTCAGTCTTGCAACTCGGCTTGCGACGCGGCGTTGCGACGGGGCTCGCAAGGGAGCTGGGGCGAGTCGTGCCTCGAGAAGAGATGGAACGAGGAGAGGTCGTTCGAGTCGCAGAAGTCTGAGTTCAGCCTAGGTCGAGGCTGGGTTTCAGCCGTGCTCCGGCTGGCGGAGCGTCGTGAGGGAGCAAACGCCGATACCGATGGCAGGTGTCGCTTCTCGCAGAACGAAGTGGCGAGGTGTGGTTAAGTGCGAGTGAAGCTGGCAGCTGCACGAACAAAGGAAAGCACGGAGAAGAGAGAGTGACGAGTGACAACAAGCGATCAACCTGTAGAAAGGGCGGAAATCGCCAAGTGTCGACCAAGCGAGCATCGAAAAGGACGAGCAGCAGCGGATGAGCAACAAGAGCCATCGTTCATCGCCAGAGCGCTCCAAGCCGGTGAGCGCGCACAGCTGCGTCGTCCAGAGCCTGAGCCAACACAGCCTGAAGTAAGGGCGAGTGTTTGTGTGAAGTTGGCAGCGATCAAGGAGAGAGCGACAGCAGCAGCACGACCCGGGCATCACCGAGCGTCGTGCCGACTCAACAATCATCCAGCAGTGGAGAAGCCTGGAGCTGCCACCAAGAGAGAGAGAGCGCCATCGAATGCGCCGTGTGTTTGATACACACACACACCGACCAACACCCAGTGAGAACAGACAAGACGTCCAGCAGCGACGACGATATCATCGCACACCGCCGAAGGCGAGCATCGTGCCGACTCAACAATCATCCAGCAGTGGAGAAGCCTGGAGCTGCCACCAAAAGAGAGAGAGCGCCATCGAATGCGCCGTGTGTTTGATACACGCACACACCGACCAACACGCAGTGAGAACAGACAAGACGTCCAGCAGCGACGACGGAATCATCGCGCACCACGTCGGCGAGCGTCGTGCCAACGCCGCTCAATCCAGCAGTGGAGAAAGGGAGAGAGCACGGGCTCGCTGCGGCCACGCCCAAGCGAGAGGAACTTCTCTGGCTACTGGTTGTATTCTCCCCCACCCCACAAGCTCCGACACAGCGCCCTGCCTCTGCTTAAAATATTAATTTTACAAGGGGACAACGCACACACAACACGCACATGAATAAGACTTTCAAAAAGTTATCTTTGTGTTTCAAAAAGGGTTGCCATTTCAAGGTGGTGCGTTCAATATCAACTGATCGTGCAAAGCATTTGCTGCCGTCGAGTTACATGAATAAGAAATGTTTGAGTCATTTATTTTCGTTAATTGTATGATCTTGCTGATGAATCTATTGACGTATGCTTTTTTTGCCTTTGCATATTAGAGTGTCATGTTTGTTTAGAATTAAAATTGCTTAACACCAAGTGTTCGAGTGCTTCTTTCCCAGTCCATGCAAAACTGTCTTATTCATAAGAACTGTTACCTGCGATGAGATATGAATTTGGAGACCTAACATAACATTAACACACTAAGATAATCAGTAAATGTTTAATCAAAGATAATCGTTTTATCCCGATTGATACAACTCTGGATAACGAAGCTAAGCCTAATTATCATAACTGCACACATTAACATAATCGCAAGCATTTGCACAAATTACTACGAGTATCTCCGCGATTATCATAATTTATGCATATAACTGCATAAATTAACATAATTTATGTGATTTACGCAATTTTTACATTTCATTAATTTTTATTATTTTTATCAAAATTTCATAATCCGACATATGCAACGAAATATGTAAATGGGAGAGTAGTGGGAGGAGACTTGCAGCGGAGCAAAGAATCCATTCCCTGCGGAGAATACAATGCCAGTGAGTGGAACGCGGTCTGAAAGTCACCGTAAACGTGAACACAATCAGTTAAGATCCGAAATGGTTTATTACGTCCTTCCAATGATTGCTGAGCCAGAATCCATCTTCTCGGTTGAAATTGTCTCTGTGTTTGTATATGTGGATCACCATAAGAACAAATCTCTCATGGTAGCCAGATGGCTTGCAGAGAACCTCTGTCTTGGAGAAGTCAATATCCTGTTAGCCCACTGAATTGTAACAGTGATCTGCCACGGCTGAGGTGTTTGTCCTACCATGTTTCAAGTCTGCTTTATGTTCACGGATGCGGTCCGAGACATGTCGTTTGGTTTCTCCAATGTAACTGCTACCACAGAGGAAACTTAGTTTGTAGACGCCAGGGTACTGTATGTCTGGAACCACATCTTTTACAGACGGGACCAGATCACGGATTTTATGTACTGTGTTGAATCGGACCTGGATCTTGTGTTTTATCAGGATTTTGGAGATCTTTTTTGTGACCCCAGCAATGTAGGGTAAGGTGATGGTCTTGAAAGGCTCCTCAACAGGATCCTTCTTGATGGTTGGAGTGATGGCTTTGCAGATTGTGTAGTCGGAGTAACCATTAGCCTTAAGAGCTTGGCGTACGTGTTTGAGTTCACTGGCAATGTGTTCCTGGTCGGAGATGCATTGGGCTCTATGGTATAGAGTCTTGATGAGGGAATTCTTCTGGGATGGATGGTGGTGGGAATCCGGTTTTAGGTAAGCATCCGTATGGGTGGCTTTCCTTTAGACAGAGTGGCTCATTGAACCATCAGGTCTCCTTTTAATTAGGACATCCAAAAAGGGTAGCTTGCCATCTTTTTCGACTTCCATGGTGAATCTGATGGCTGGGTGTATGGAATTGATGTGGTCGAGGAATTGGTCTAGAGCAGGCCGGCCATGTGGCCAGATGACAAAAGTGTCATCTACGTACGGGTGTAGAGTGGCAGTCTGGATGGCGTCAGTCTCAAATTTCTCCATGAAAACGTTGGCTACAACCGGAGATAGGGGGGAGCCCATTGGGGTGCCCTCAGTTTGTTTGTAGAAAGTTCCATTCCAGGTGAAGTATGTATTGGTTAAGCAGTGTCTCACCAGGGGGGTACCCCCGTATTCAGTCCTTGATGAACCAATTTTTCAATGATTGCGATGGTGTCAGGTACAGGTACTTTGGTGAATAAGGAAACCACATCAAAACTGACAAGCAGGTCGTCTGGGGACAGGGAAATCCCCTTGATTGTCGATACCAGGTTGATAGTAGAGACAATGGGACGAAGAGGTGTATCTTTTTTATGTATCTTTGGCAAGCCGTATAATTTTGGTGGCCTGGCTGCAGAAGGTTTCAACGAGAACTGTTTGGTTTGATCAATTAATGCGGTTGAATCAGAAATGATTTTGTTGGTTTTAAATGACGAGGCTGTTGGTGGGGTCTCTTTTTATTTTTGTATAGCTTCCATCGTTGAGTAGTTCTTGAATTGTATTGTTGTATTCTATTTTGTCCATGATGACAGTGGCATTGCCTTTGTTGGCTGAGAGGATGACAATGTCATCCCTCTTTTTTAATTGCTAATTCAAAACGCTCATCTTTGCTGATGTTCCTAGCTGGCATCTTAGCGGTTTTTAGGGTTGCAGAGATTTCAGATCTTGTTACGTCTGCAGCGATGTGACTCAGGCCCCTTGAGAGCCACATCTACTCGGGCAGTAGATGTGGCTCTCAAGGGCCTGAATCACATCGCTCCTCACACACACACACACGGGGGAATTTTTATTCATTCATGAATACATTTCTCACGCACACATTGAACTTTAAAAGGACTTTCACTGGTGTGGGAGAATAAATTTAAAAAAAGAGAGAAGTCTTGAGATTCAGACAGAATGACGGCCCCGATGCCGATTGATAAGCGACGAAGGGAGGGAGGTGGCAGTGAATTCCAGATGATGGGAGCTTCGAGAGAGAAGCGATGTTCATGTTTTTCAGAGTGGTTGTATACGATAAAATCAAACTGTCAATATAGATTTGTGTGTCCATATTGTCCCCAACCTCCCAATCCATGTGTCTTCTGCAGAGCACATTCAAACCATCATGACCCTGCAAGAGTCTGTTCAGCACGTGGTGATGGCTGCGATCCAGGAGGTACTGTGTGCATGTCGCGTCCCAATGGTCAGTTGCCTAAAAGGCTGAGACATGATGGCAAATGTGGTGGCAATTTTACAAATCAATTATATTTTCTCGATTGCGTTGAACTCTGTTATTGAATTGAGAAGGTGAGTAGCCACGTGGTGTAGTGGTTATCAAGTGTAGTGAGTCCAACTGAGTCACAGACGTTGTTCCTTTTAGAGGCAACACATTTATTTGTAACACGTAACAAGGGGTAACTGGCCCTTCACCAGATACAGTCTAGGGTGGTGACCACTCAGCTAACCACTCTATACAGAGGAGTTACTGCTACGAAGAGTCGGGTCCCTACTCGGTTCCGCGACCATGTGTTTGCCTTGTAGACGTAGAGCTTCCAGCTTGAGATGTAGGGCTTCAGCTGGTGGACGTGGAGCTTCAGCTTGTAGAATGCAGCGAGCCTGGTCTCTCTCAGGGACCCGCCTTATATCTCCCTACAGTCGGGGCTGCTCCGCCCTTGGCCCCGCCTGCCTTCTGGAGCCTTCTAGCTCCCTCTCGAGAGCTCTCCCTGGATACGTGATCACCCCCTAGTCCCCCCACCTGGGGGCCTCTCTATAGACACTCTAGATCACGTGTCTGCAGGGTCAACCAGAGTGCCATGGCCTGAGGCAACCCTGCCCTTGGGCTGACACTCCCGCTCCCCCTCGTGGGAGCCCCCACTACACGCTATGCGTGGTGCCCGCACTATCCAGTGCTCACCAAGCCCCGTTAGGGCTGGTACTACACCCGCCCACAGGGTGTATGCCCACTCAGGCCGGCACCATACAGTGACATCCCTGATGTCATTACACAAGTATGGGCATACCTCGATATACGTTTTGAGTTACGTTTTTGAAAACCTGAACGTTAAGTGAAAAATCCTACCGTGTAGCAAACGTATTCTCCCATATGGTTCCATTATATAACCTAAGATGCACTCCTAATAACACATTTTCTTACCCAGAACCTACTAAAGTCACACTTTTAAACATAACTTAGATATTTTAATGAATAAATATGGAGAATAATAACTAGGCAGGTGATAAAAAACAAATACTGTACATTGTAATTTACTCACCAGTAACTGTGGTGAATGTCGTGTGAGGTGGAGAGGGCTGGAGGGTTGACTGGGAGGGTGAGGGAGGGCCAGGAGGAGCAGACGAACCGTGGTGGAACGTACAGCAACAGTAGTGTGAACGACGACACCGCCTATAAACAAAGAGTGGGCGATGTTACAAAATGTGGCGGCCAGCCAAACGGCCTGGAACCATTTAAAGTTCACGCACAGACAAGGGACATGGCGTGCATTTACTATCGGTATTTTTATTGTTTACACCAAAAAATATATAATTTAGAAAATGTGTTTTTTATGACTAATGTAATAACGAATCATAAATCGAATTAACGTATATTGGGGTTCTACCTGAATGTCTGGCTTCACCACTAAAGTCTACCGCTTGCTACAGGAACATTATATGATGTAATTGACACTCAACACAGTGGTCACAGTCCCTATTAACTCCAGGTGGATGGGACTTGCAGCGACGTTTGGGCGGCCCAGAGGTGCTTGGATGTCCACCTCTAATCCCCCTCCCATCTGAGTGTTCCCTGTCCATGCTCGGACGTTCTGGCAACGCAAAACCGAAATGTCTGGACACTGGGGCTTTAGAGCCAGAGGTGAGCTGTTGGATCACATTGTGAAATTGTTGCTGTTTTTGTCATTCACAGCTGATGAATAAAGAGACGCAGGACTCCGCCGCAGGGCACGGATTGCCAGATATGGAGCGGCAGGTGAGTTCCTTGTAATAATTCCAAGCCCAGTTTAGTGAGCGAAAACCAGGCTGGAATCTGATCCAAGCTGGAACTTTGTTAATAATTGCATATAACTTGAGCAATTTGCCTGAGCCTTACTTTCTTCCCATATCCCTGCAATCCTTTTTTTTTACTTCCTGTAGCCTAGTTACTGGCACACGCCATACCCTGTGCAGGAATCTATGCAAAGTGGGAAAAAAGTTTGTGCTGATTTGAAGCTTTCGTGACTGCAGGAATCCATACTCTTTGGTTTAGGTAAAGTCACGTAGTTAGAAATAAACATAAAATAAACCAAAAGATTACTTCTAACTACGTGACTTTACCGAAAGAACCAAAGAGTATGTAAAGTTTGTGTTGCTTGACAATAGCCAGGCTGCTCAGAGGTCAGAGTGCTGAGCCAGAACCACTGAGTTCCAGAGTTTGAATTTGGCTTTCAGTTGCTCATAATTTAACCGGGTTCTCAAGTGGAGTGAGTTGATGGTCTCGGTCTGGTCACCAATGACTCGACAAAAAAACCCCATCACATTTAAATTGGCTACCTCCAGCTCTGAGAATTAAATAAATATTTTTTTGACTGCCATGCAATGAACATTCCTCAATCGGAGAATGTGTGGGATAGTGGGCGTCCTCGTGGGTGGATCGGATTAATGTTTGAACAATGATGGTTGCTTTTATTTATCTTCCCAGCTGCGCCGAGCAACTGAGGATCTATCTGAGGTGGAGAAGATGAAAGAACAACTTGAAAATCGATGTCACGCGCTCACGCTGCAGGTGGGAAGTGGCAAGGGGAAAGAGCGAGACGGTGCCGTCTGTGTGCTTCAGGGCGGGTCGCTGTTGTGAGTTTTTATGGGGCGGTCGTAGATCTTAGCTTTTTAAGTTCGATCTCGTCGTTCACCTCAACCTCCACGGGGCGGCGACCCAGGGCCCGGTGGTGGCGCGTTCGCTGCTTGATGCAGACGGCTCCCTCTTCGAATCCGGCTGGCCAACTTGGGTGATAGTGTGGGCCCATCAACCATAATATACGTGCCGTCTCCTCAAAGTTAACTTTTACCAGGCTATTCAAAAAAATAATAAAACAATAAAGATCCCGTGGCATCATTCAAAGAAGAGTAGGTCGTTGTGTGCCGGTACCATGCTCAACGGGAAAATGACTGGCAATTTACTGTACAGTAAGTCCTCATTTACCATTGTTGATGCATTCCTGAAAAGTGCCACATTAAGTGACAAACACGTTAAGCGAAAACAATTTTCCCATACATAATGTATAAAGTTTGGCGAGATACGATGTACGTAGATGCTGTGAGATGGGGATACAAACAACTGAAGGCACGCTGCCGTGTTACTGTATTATTCCGTGCACTGTATCACTTCTCAGCCGCGCAGCTCAAGTGCGTTCCACATTATAGTGGTGCGCAATCCTCTTTATAGCGGTGAGCGTTTCACGTGATAACGGTGCATGTTCCACCTTATAACGGTGCGCGTTTAGCGTTACAACACTGCCCGTTTCGCGTTACAACACTGCCAGTTTCGCGTGACAACACTGCGTGTTCCGTATTATGCGAAAAACATTCCCTAAAGGAAGTACGTTACAGCGAAAACGTGTTATTTGTGTGAACACTGCATGCGCAGTGAGGTTTCAGCGTGATGGGAAACGCAGCATTCGTCACCACTTTTAGCAAATATTGAGATGCATTTAGGCTTTCTTGCGTGAAGTTTAACAATAATAAAATATTACTGACAGCAAGGTGAGAAATACATTCTAGATTTGAAGTTTTCGTGACTGCAAGGATTCATACTCTTTGGTTTTTTCGGTAAAGTCACATAGGTAAAAAAAAAATCACGATGTGTCCACACACTTAAGCGGTGCTTTCGTTAAGTTGTCCCCACCCGAAGGACGCTGGTGTTGCGCCCGAAATTTATTTCAATTTTTTACCTACGTGACTTTCCCCAAACAAAAACAAAGAGTGAGAAATAAATTATCTGTTTTGTAAGCAAAACTGTAGATAATACGGACGCAGAGATAAAGGCTCAAGAGTGAGTACAATACTCATTAAGGTGCAATTGTACAAAAATGTAGAAAATATTGAATACTCAGAATATAAGCAACCAAAGTCTATCCACTGCTGGATGAAGGCCTCCCCACACCACCGCCAACTCTCACGATCCTGCGATGTAACAATTCACATAGCATCCGTCCATAAACTGATTTCATCGCTTCCATCTCCTGGTCGATGCCCTCTTGTTCCATGCCTTGGCTGCTGCTCCACTATTACTCTTGGCCATCGTCCCATCATCCCCACTCGCGACGTGTCCTGGCCAAGCCCACTTAACAGGTTGAATGATGTCATGAAGAATTACATCGCATTAGATATCAAAGTTACATTGGCTTTCACGACCAATATGATTGGTAATTGATTTTTGGGTTAGATCATGTAAGTAATATTTACTCTATCATGCACCCCTCCTCCACTTAACACAGCCAATTCATAAAGACACGAGAACAAACGTGGTAGTGTATTAGTGCTACAGCACATTGGTGTATTGGAGAGCAATCCACAACATTTAACAATTCACGATTGTGAAATGTTGTCGATTGGCTGTGTTGGGTGGAGGAGGATGTATGACATGTATTTTACTCATGGGATATGACTAAAAAATATATTAATTATTATCTTTGGTACTCTCGATGCTGCCACACTCGGACGTCGCTTCCTTCTGCGAGAACCCTTAGCTTTAGCACAGTCTGCATCCAATCCCTGCCCTTGTAGTCTCCTCCCAGCTCATGTCGGCTCTTAAGCTCCCACACAGACTGCAGAGTGTCACTGCAATATTTGTCTCGATGGCCCGACCTCAGTCCTGCGTACGAGCAGCACCATCTTATCTGCCTCATCATGAATCCTTCTGCAGTGCTTTCTTGCAACATTTAAATTCCAGAAATGTTCACTTTCCTATAACTTGTACCTCTCAGTTACTAGTCCATAGCTTCTGGTAATGTGGCCTGCTCATACCCACTTCACCTAACGGTGAAGGAAATGGTCATTGTAAGATGTCGGATTTGCATTTGTTCCTCGATCTGTCACTTCGTGTCATTCCCAGCTTGCATCTAGCCACGCTTTGTGCACTTTTCAGATTTTGTTCCATTTTCTTTGGCAGTGTTTCTGATTCATGTCAGAGCTGGCAAGATCCAGTGAGTGATACCTCTCTCTGTGAGACACATTTGCATGCTTCTTGTTCTTACATTTGTAATTGAAGTTTGATATCCAAGTCACTCAACTACTTGATCTTCACTACGTCACTCAGATCAGTCGGCCTTCTTACCCCACCGTCTGTCCGCCATAAGGGACAGTCCTCAACGGTATGGCGGCATGGCTGTCTGCTGCGCAGCCACATGTAGCCACAGTGCCACTTCTTTAGAACTGTGTTTTCTGTTTAGTTTGGTCTTCCCTCACACCTCCGATTAGCATGGTTGGCTACATATGGTGCGAAAGAAGGGCAACATACACACATACAGTGTACCAAGATGCCCATAGCCACACACCGGTCTGTGTAGCCTGGTCCCAGACAGTCTGCATAGTTAGTGGCCATGTGCACATACCTATTACCAAAGGGTCATGCAGCTGTGTCGCCAATTGTATAAGAACTTCAGCTCTTCTAACGGTGTTATATTCAGATTGTTTACCGCCTCATTGTTTTGATTCCAATCCTCCTTTAATAATTGCCCTAGGTATAAAAAGTGGACCAATCACTTTCAAGGAAAATGCATATATTATCAGAGTATGTTTTTTGTTTGTGGTTAATGCAGACATGATTTCTAGTAAAAAGGTTTCAGTTTTGTTGCCAGAAAAAAGGGGGAAAACCTATTCTTATATTTTGGTACTGGCAAAGGAAGTACTATGATGTATTGGGCCCATGTTTGTCATTCTGCTCCGCTTTCGAGCTTTTACCACTGCCACCCCCCCCCCCCCCCCTGCGTTTTAGCTGGAGAGCCTTCAGGACGACCGGGGGAAGGTCCTGGCTGAGAACAAGCTGCTCCGCGAGCAGAGCGGCCAATGGGGAGCCCTGGAAGAGGAGGCTGTGCGGCCTCCCGTGGTGCGGAGCCAGCAGCTGGAGGCCTTCCACGAAGAGCTGTTCCGGTGAGACTTAGTTGTGCCGAACACAAACCTGATCGAAGTCTGCACCTTAACATGACTCGCGAGATGTATGCTATTTACAGTCAGTCATCTCCTGCTCAAATAAGCATTGAGCTGCTTCTCATCTCTCGTTTTTTCAGCCCTGAGCCGGTAGTAGAATTTCTGCATTGCCATGATGGGGGCGAGTCTCCATAGGATGACCGCTGTTGACTTCCCCGCAAAATGGTGCACATTTTTGTTAACCTCCAGAGGGACGACGGGCTGAGTTAACTCCCAACCAGGATTTGAACTCTTTCTCACACTGAGCCACCTGGCCTCGTGCGCTGTCGCAGCCTCGGTCAGATTTCGCTGGCCATGTCCGTTGCTTCCACCGTCCCGAACGCTGCCTGGGAGATGGTGGGCCACACTTTGCCCGCCCGCCTGCAGAGCGTGACCCCTGCTGCGTGCCGGGCCTCTCGTTGGTCTAGGCTGGAGGGCAGCCGAGACGAGTTCCGCCTGCGCTGCGAGGAGCTGGAGCGCCATGTTTCGGTGCTGGAGCAGAAGAACCAGCAGCTGACGAGCCTGGCTGAGGAGGCGCAGGCGCTCAAGGATGAGATGGATGTGCTCAGGTCTTACACCGTCGTATTATTTAAAACAAGTTTGAAAACTCTGCAGCGTTCACAATGCACTGATCATAGAATGTGGAGAGCACCTGTCTGCCTGAGTGTCCCACTGTGTGTGTATATTTGTCCACCTATCAGTGTACCCACTTGCATGCATTTCTCCCTGGCAACATTACCTATCTGCCTCTGCTTACTCACATACTCACCCACCCATCAGTGAATCCCACCTGTTACTGGATGCATCTCCTCCATCGTCCAGATTATCTGTTCTGGCCCCCGATTGGTTTTACTGAAAACACAGTCAAAAGTTATTTGCTGCTCAATTGGACAACGAGGCAGTGCTCATCTCCTGTATACATCCCTGAGCCAGTGGTGGAAATTCCACACTCCTATGGCAGGGGCAAGTGTTGACTTTCCTAAAATTCATAATAGAGGTTTTTTTGGGTTAGATCCCATAAATATATAAATGTGTCGTTAAAACCCGCCACCACCCGATACAGCCAACCGGTGTGTTGGCTCTCCAACACACCGGCGTGCTGTACTAGTGACGAATTGGCACGTTCTGTTTACGTGACAACCCTTACTAGTGGTGGCGGGTTTTAACGACACATATTTACGCGATTTAACCCAAAAAACCTCTAATATGGTTGATATTGGTCGCGAAAGCCTACGTGTTTCCCGACAATTACTGTATTTTCTCATCATCTCACCCACCAACCTCAAAAGTGCACTTAAATCTTAAAAACCTGCCACGTTAACATGACCATAATGTTGCGCACGTGACGGCTGTGTGGCGGGTGTGCTTGTGCGTGAGCGCATGTTTGTGCGTGAGCGCATGTTTGTGCGCACGTGTGTGTAGTGGGCAAAAACAACCCCCTACCTCCTTGTGGTGCCGGACGGCAAAGCTATGGTGGGCAGTGCCGTGGGGTGGAGGGTTCAATTTAGATTGGCTTTCCCCTCATGACGTTTGTAACCACTACAGCGGCCAAATGGGGGCTCTGGATGGGTGCGAGGGGCTGGTAATCCCTCCACCTTCAATTAATTACAACTAAAACACGACTGAAAATTTTAATTAATAAGCTTGTGCCGGAGGACCCGGGGGGACAGGCGTCTATGACGTCTCCTGGCCAAACCACATTTGGCGGAGCCAGCAGACTGAATCTTTACCCTCGGGGCTCATCCAGAAACAACAAAAAACCACTACGTGTGGCCACGTGGAATGTTCGAACGCTCACTGCGGAGGCTGCCACTCCTCTGTCGGGAGCTGGACCGGTACCGCCTGGATCTCTGTGTTATTCAGGAGGTCCGGTGGACTGGCTCTGGCTCCTGCCACCATGAGGGGTGGACAGTCCTCTTCTCAGGGCAGGAGACTGCCAAACAACAGGGAGTGGCTCTTCTTCTGAACAAAAGAATGAAGGGGGCATGGGAGCGTGGTGGTGAGGTGTGGGAAGCTGTAAGCCCCAGGCAACTTTGGGCTCGTCTTCCCATCAACCAGAGGTGAGGAGTGGTGGTCGTGGTTACTTATGCCCCCACCGAAGAAGAACATCCGTGGAGGGATGCAGGCAAGGCCGATGAGTCGGATGCTTTCTATGACCTCCTGTCACAGGTGCTAGCTAAAGTGGCCCCTCGGGATAGAGTCCTCTTGTTGGGTGACTTCAATGCCCGAGTTGGTCATGATGCTGGTGAAGTACTCTTGAAGACGCGTGGACACCGTAGTAAGGCACACGTATTTATTTACACAATGTCTTACAGCGCTGAGGGATGTATCGGCCCCCTCACCCGTATAACTGGGAATTCACCTCTAACTAGCCTTCCTAGCCGAGTCCTCCACTAACGGGCTAGGGGAGGCTGTCTGGCCCGACACTGGTCAGTCGGGCTACGGTACCCGGAATCCCAGAGGACTAACTCTGGTTCCGGGACCACGCCACTGGCTCCAGCCTGCGCTGCCCTTACAAGGGCGGCGTCCCAGGGGGAGTCCAGGGCCTATCTGGCCGGTCTTCCTTCTTCCCTTAACTACTCTAAGACTCAACCCCGAGCTCTCTGGCTCATCCCTTTTTATACCCCCCTAGAGGATCGAAACCCCCCTCACGCCGTCCAGTGCGGACGTCGTTGCGGGCACCACCCCGTGTGCTCACGGAGTCCCCGCCCACTGTGTTTGTTATCCGTTAGCTCCCATGCAAACAGCCCTACACAAACAGCCCCTCTGTAACAGCCCTACATCACCCCCCCCTGTACAGCTCGCAGCCGTCCCGGCTGCAACAACTTCAATAAAAGTTATTTAACCCCTGGATCCCCGCGTGTGCCTTAAAAAAAAACGTTTTTAACGATAACATGAAGGGAACAACAGCAACAACAACAACAACAACGACAACAACAACAAAACCCACAACCCCGAAGGGAACAATCCGACGCACTCCCCCTGAATAAATACGAATACCGTAAGAGCGACGTATATACAGGTTTAGCAGGGAACTCCTAGCACGCATGCAACACAACAAAAAAATGTGGTAGGAGCTCCCCACCGACGCAGCACCACGCAACCGTACGTAAGAGAATAAAGTGTTCGTCCAATGCATTATAAGAGTCTGCGCATTTTTGCGCGTGTCCTTGCTGCAGGCCCGTCACACGGGGCAATCCCGGGTGGCGAACCCGCCGGTGGCGGTTGTTCATTTTGTATAGAGTCCGCGTCTGACGTCGCGAGACCCTCGGCATCCCTCGCAGCAGTAGGTGGGTGCGAGCTCGTCAGTCCCGGTGCACCTGTGGGTGGGACAGCCGGCGACACGTCAGGCGAGGGCAGTGAGGACGGACCCTTTGAGTCGGCCGACCCCCCACATGTTTGGCCACGCGTGTGTGGAGTGGGGCCTCGCACCGCAACGAATGGTTTTAGCCTCGAGGGGTGCACAAACCACCGGCGCTTCCCCCATTTGATGCGAACACACTGAGGCCGCAGAACCTCGACCACCTCTACAGGCCCCCTCCACGGCCGCGCCAGTTTAGGGGATGTTGCGAGCGGTACCTGGGGGCAGTGCAGCCATGCTCTGTCCCCCGGCTTCCACTGCAGCACGTGCGCGCGACCCAGTCTGAGGCGCTCGTTTGCTTTTTGACGCTGTTCCGAATTTAACATGGCAGCATCCCGTGCCTCAGTCAATTTTTCAAGGTTGAATTTGACATGGTCAATTAATGTAGTTTTACCCAGTGGTGTGGGGATCTGCAGCTGCGCCCGAATGGGTGGGTCAGGGTCGCGCCCATACATGAGGAAGAATGGCGAAAATCCCGTTGCAGCATGGGGGGCCAATCTGTATGCTGCCAAGACCCCTTGGATTTTCAAGTCCCAATCAGTCTGTGAGTCCGAAACCTGCTGTGATAACATAGACGAGATGGTACGATACAGACGCTCGACCATCCCGTCAGTTTGCGGGTGATAGGGGGAAGTACGAATCTTTTTCGTTCCTAGGAGCTCACAAACCTGTTGGAGGAGTTTTCCGGAAAAATTTCTACCCTGGTCGGTCAGCAGCCGCTCCGGGGCACCTTTGTCCATGACATAGCCTTGGACAAAGGCGTCGACGATGGCTGCTGCCGACTGATTGGCCAGGGGCCAGGCCATAGGCCAGCGCGTAAAATACTCGACCCCGGTTAACAAGTATCTGTTTCCCCTAGGGGTGGCGGGGAATGGGCCCAGAATATCCAGCGCGACAAGTTCGTTTACTCTGGAGACCCTGATAGACTGCAAGGGCGGGTTAGATTCTCGCGCTGGTGGTTTTCGCTGTGCACACCGCGGGCATGAAGCCAACAGATCAGAGACATCCCTTGTCATGCCTTGCCAAAAGAAATCACGCTGGAGCAAGGCGAGGGTCTTTTGGGTACCCAGGTGGAGGAGGCGCTCATGAGCAGCCCACACCACCCTACCCCGTAAGCCCGAAGGGACTACCAGCCGGTGTCGGTGGGATTTTCCGTCCCAGTGCAACAGCAACCCCCCGTGCATTTCCCATGCGTCGGCATCACCCGATCCCCGCCCTGCCTCCCCGGCGCGACGACGCAACGCGAGGAGGGAGGTATCCTCCATCTGGAGGCGCCCCCATTCCTGAATGTGCAAACCCAGCAGGGAATCTTTCCCTTGTTGTTCAATGGAATTCAGAACAACTGTCCCGCTGTCGGCGGCGGCCGCAAGGCCCGGAACCGACCCGTCCCCTGCTGGTTTGCAACGTCCCGACCCCAGGAGGCACGCGCATTCCGAGGTGGTTGGCATGCGCGACAGAGCGTCCGCGTTGGTGTGGCGGACGCCCTTACGGTATGTGGTGTCAAAATCAAAATCCTGGAGGATCTCCAACCATCGGGACAATTGTCCCGATGGCTGTTGAACTCGCAGGGCGTACTGCAGTGCCGCATGATCTGTGCGGACGGTGAAACGCCGACCGTACAGATATGGGCGATACTGTTGGATGAAATAGACAATTGCCAACAGTTCTCTGCGGGTAACACAATATCTTTGCTCTGCTTGAGACAACACCCGACTGCCGTACGCAACCACCCGTTCGACGCCGTCAACCACCTGGGAAAGCACGCCCCCAATACCCGTGTTGCTCGCATCGGTGTCGAGCAGGAACGGCTTTGAAAAATCGGGGTAGATCAAGGGAGGAGCTTTTACCAAGGCGTCCCGAAGGGAGCAAAAAGCAGCCTCCTCCTCTTGACCCCAGTGGAACCGAACCCCCTTTGATGTTAATGCGTGTAGGGGTTTGGCAATTGTTGCAAAGTCGGCGACGAACCGTCTGTAATATGACGCGAAGCCGACGAAACTCCTGACCTCTCCCACCGTGGTGGGAGTTGGCCAGGAGCTGACACACTGCGTTTTGGCGGGATCGGTAGCAATACCCGAGCGCCCTACGATGTGCCCCAAATAACGCACGGAATCGCGTAACAAATGACACTTTTGGGGCTTGAACTTCAAATTAGCAGCCCGCATCTTTAGGAAAACCGCCCGCAACCTCTGGAGATGTTCGTCAAAAGTT